ACACTGGGATTGGATGCCAGTCTGCACACAGTATGTGCATTCACACTTCGAACAATTTAGAGACTGCAAATTGTATAACTACAAAAGAAAACCCACACAGCTCTGGGAGAACATGCGAATTCCACAGGCACAGAATGGAGCTGGAATTTGACTCCTCTTCCAAAGAGGCACCACCATGCTACAATAAAAGATTTATGGTACATATAGGATACATGCATGGCAAATGTTGAATTCTGTTTCATCCGATTATATAGTTGTCTCTTCATGGTTTTATGCATGCTCTCCTCTTGATGACAGCCTGCACCAGATGATCCAGGCCTGGGGTGGCATGCAGTCACTCTTCCTGGGTTCTTTTCAAAGCATGTACAAAGCATGCTGGCTTGCTGTGTTTTCCATGTTTCTATTCTACATTCCTAGATTTCATGTCTAAGACAGTATAGCGTTTATATGTAATTTATAGAGCTGGGTTTTTACTGCTCCAATTTGTAGTACCTTGCCTTGCTCACTGTTTTGCCTTTGCATTGAATATTTTATTGAAACACCATTCATTGAGGACATAGTTATGGTTGCCCTACTGTGATTTACATGCGACATAACTCATCTCTGTAAAATTGCCCATAGAGTACGATGAAAATCAAGTCATATGAATTGATTAGCCAGCCTATAGAAGATGTTGCAGTGCAAGATGAATCAATTGCAAGTTTTTGACCATAATTGACAGCATGCAAAAGGCTATGAACTTCTGCAATGCTTGCTTTCTTTGTCCTTTTCTTTCTAGTTGTTTTCTTGGCTTCCGTACAGATTGTTTATGCCTTTTGGAAGCAGCCCTAGTCTCACACATTATCGTTTTCATGTCTGTTTTTTGCTGATCAGAGCAGGGTAGTGACTAATCCACTCGGGTGAACTAAACCAATAAGCAAAATGTGGAAAATAAATTAGCTACACAAAACAAATAAAAGACTCTGCTTAAACCAACCGGTATTACAGAGTATATTTTCGCTCTACAATTACTGTAAGAACATGGGTCTGTACGGTAAGGCAAGTGGCACAATATCTATAACCATGTTGGAATAAAGGTTTGAAAACCTCATCCTATCCTGTTCTGTTTGACAATGCTTCAGTTTGGACCCCAGTGCATGTAATGCAAATAAATCTAGATAACACACTGTTTACAGCAAGCTTTTTCAAAGTGTTCACACAAAACTTACCTGGGGCAATGTGTCAAAGAACAACACAAGAGCTGCAAACTGTGATGTGTGAAAACAGATGTCTGCACCCCCCCACAACACCCCCAGCCTGTACAACCCAAAATGTTTGCACACCAGGGGCAAAGACACTGAACATTGCTCTCCTTCCCCTGAGCGTACACAGCAATTACAGCTGACCCATCATCACAGCCACCTGAGCATAAATTGTAGAAGCCTTTGTTGTGCCTGTTGAGAAATAGTCTCCAGGATGAATTTATTTTGATGGGAATGTTAGGAAAATTTGAACTACGTGGTACATGGTGTTTATAAATTTTATAAAAAAATGTGGCTTTCAAAAGATTAAAGTAATTTAAAGCAGTTTTTGGAAGAAATTGTTAGAAAGGGAAACTGAGACATAACATAAGATTAACTTTTTTTGACTGTAGTTCCTGCTTTTGCCACCAGATAGCATCTGCATTTCTACATTCTAATATTCTAGAGTTGGTACATGAAGAGGGATTAAGTGAAGGCTGTAGGTGGCGTAGTGTTTAAGGAGCCTGGCTCTAAAGCATTGGAGGTTCAGAGCCCAACGGGGGCTTTCATTTCATACCTGATCGAAAGAAGTGATGCGGTTACTGGTATTCAAAGTATGGAAAATCGGAGAGCAACTGTGTAGAGAGGGAAAACACGTAGAAGAGTGATGCCATTCGTTTTAAAGACCTTTTATATTTGCATAAAAGTCATGCATAAAAAAATAAATTAGAAGCAAAAAAAAAATCAAATAGCAAAAGCATTTTAATGGTAATTATTTACATAGATGTTACAGCTTCATTTTTTTGGCTATGTTACTATTCTTGTCTATGATAGTGGTTGTGTCTCTAGTGGTTAGAAAAACCAGTATTACTAAATGTGTCTTGTACATTAGCTAGTGCTCCTTTTACCTGCATAAGCAGAGGTGAGACATTCACATGTTCCTCGGACTCCTGGGATTTGCCTGGAATGTTTGCTCACCTCAAAGAACATGTTAGGATTTTAGCCACTGGTGAGAATTGTAAAGAAACCATTGGAAAGCACACGCTGAACTTCTCAGGTTTCAGACACTATCAGACATTGAGTTTTCATGGGAGTCAAACCAAATCAAACATTTATTGGTGTAATATCGTTATAGACTTGGAAATATGTTATTTCTACAGTAGTTTTTTTTTTTTTTTTTTTTAAATCGTAGAGGGCTGACAGAAACAACCAGCTCTCCAAACCACTATACAATCAATAAATAAATCTTTCGCATGCTTTAATTTTAACTTATTTTTCATGTGTCACATTTTTTTCAATATACTTAGTCCCAGTATGACTAACAATTTACCACAAATTTTTGCACAGCCAGCTGCATGCTATGTAATTACTAAATTTGATCCCACAACTGCAGTTCATGTTTTTTTTATGCACCTATGGTAAGCTGACCACTGGCAGACCCTGGAGGGATGTAGGGATGCTGAATAGAACATTATTTACTTAAAAAAGAGAATTATCCAACGACCAGTATAAGCTCAAGTCACACAGGGACAGAGATGGTCTGGTTTCCATTCTGGCTCAGGCTGTAATTGCATCATGAAATCAATTAGCTCTCTGACCATATTCCTGAGAATAAATCAAATAAAGAGACAGATAGAAGCATCCATGCCACTATGCCGACGCGTTTTGTTTTGTTATCTTCATTGAAAATTGCTCCATTTATCTCCGACAGGTAAACAGAGCTTATTGGAATCAATTGCTTATTTGGTCTTCATTGGATTATTACAATAATTCTCCCTGTGCAAGGCCCCCCATCTTCCATCCACTTATCCTGGCCTGAGCTCATTACGGTTTTAAACTTTTACCTACCACTTGTCAGTGTTTAAGAACTTAGTAAGGTGAACAAAAACTGCCCCTCGGATTTAATCCAGTATGTATTTGGTCCCTACAGGGGTGCCAATTTCGGGCCCCATGAAAATATATTGTATAGGGCCCACCACCCAGAAAAATACAATTATTTTTTAGGGCCCCTGTTGCTCAGGGCCCCTTGGAAACATCCTAATTCCCATCCTTTACAGTGCCCCCAGGTCCCTGTATTTCTCACCCTGCCCAGGTAGAACAATTCCACATGATTGTGTCTTTTTGTTTTCTACTGTAAGATGTATGAATTTCTCAGACACAAGGCACATTCTCAAATATGAATCAACCAGCAAAATTTATTTCAGAATAATTAGCAGTGACTATTGTTTTCAGAGCAAGCAAATCTAATCACAATTGTTTCCGTATATTTGTGTGTGTGTGTGTGTGTGTGTGTACCAGTCAAAAGTCTGGATACACCAAGCTGCCTACAAAGGGGAGTGATAGATTGTCACGTCACATGACCAGGACACCTCACCTAATCACGGCAGAAATGGTTTTGCAGGAGTTTAACCAGAGAGAGAAGGAATAGCAGCTGAGGAGTGCTCAACATATGTGGCACCTCCTTCAGAAAGGCTGAAAAAGCATCCCAGGAGGTCACCTCATGGAAATGGTGTAGAGGAGACAGTAGGGTCAGCCAGTCTCTGGAGCAGTTGGGGTTAAGGATCATGCTCAAGGGCCCAATGGCGGGATCTCTCTTCTGACCATGGGATTTGAACCAGCAATCTCAACCCACAAAGCAGCCCTATCTCCCCAAATAAAAATATTCCATGTTATTTTATACTTTTAATTCCTTTAAAATTATTTTAAAATGTAGAGAATAGTACAAACAAACCTTTCTGTGGGTAGGTGTGGATAAACATTTGACTGGTATTGTATGTATGTATGTATGTATGTGTGTGTATGTGTGTATATTATATACATAAAAAACATTTTACACGTTTCTCCTTTTCTACCACTACACCAGAATGTGATTCTTAATAAGCTGCTTCTGCAGAAAAAGAGCATTTTTCTTTTACCTATATAGGAAAAAAAAATCATTTCTCCATCTAGTTTCAGCAACTCAAATTCTTTGAAACCTTAAGTTCTCAGCCCACTCAAAGCACAGGTAACTGGGGGGAAAACATCACGACACATTTATGCGGTTCTGTGAGCAAGGCCGTGACTAGAGCATGCAGGCAGCTGCCTCGGCAGCCATGGCAACAGTATTCTTTCAGAGGGATACCATCCAATCGCAGACCTCTCTACGCTTTTACCTCGACCAATTGGTACCAAGGATGCAGCCAAACCAATTTATCAAAACTCTAGTGTATTTGGGTGTTGCAATTTGTGGAGAGTACGTGGGGTGGAGCGTTTATGAGAACACATCTCCTTTACTTTGCTGCAGCGAAGTGAAATAACATTCAATCAATATGACAGCATATATACAACATTTAAACAAATACCATATATATATATATATTTAACATTATTTTATTTTTTTAGAGAAAAATGTGGAATTAATTTTGGATAATCCTACCGCGAGAGAAGAGGCCTACCTGGGGTGTGAGAAGGGGTTAGAACGAAGCCTTCAGAATAAAGAGGCAGACATTCCTTATTCTTAGCAACTTTCAATAAACTCATTTATTATTTTCACACAATGAATAACATGAACAAGATCGACTTTGTTATTATACTGTAAGTGCTCTATACTGCTAGCCAGCAAATGGTAGCAAATAGACGAGCTTTTCTTTAAGAAAAAAAGGGGGATAAAACAAAACATAAAACAACAACTAGATCATGAACAAACATGACCAAAAGCATGCCAGCAAATACATATATATGTATATACATACATATGTGTACATATACAAATGTGCATACTTTGTGTGTGCGTGTGTGTGCTTGTGTGTGCTTGTATACATAGATAAGTATATAAACATAATACACAAACATATTTTGCGTGTGTATAATATATACACACCCACACACACACCCACACACGCGCGCACACTCACACACATATATGCCTCAAAAACTTGCAGTTATAATATTCATACAATGTACAAAATTGCTTCATGACTTAAAAATCCATTACAAAAAATTATCAAACAATGTACAAGTTTTCTCTGAATTTATTTAAATTCAAATAACTTTCTGCTTGTCTAAAATATGTATGCATACAATCGAGAACATGCAAATGAAGAAAAAAATTCACTCTGTTAAAAAGAGGCTAAAAAAAGTATGTATACAAACTAAAATTTACCAACACAGGTTAGAGCTCAGTTTGTGCTCTTGCAAAGTACATCCTTCCATTGGATTTATTTACTCAATATTTAATTTGCACTTAATATTTTTCTTTAACAATGATATGGTTCAAAAAGTTCTGTGACAATGCAATCTGTAATCATGCCAGTGGAAAATATTTTAGTTGCTACCTTTCTTTAGTGTTTCACAGTCCAGTTAAATCTCAATTTTGTGTTTCCTTTTTGCCAATCATGTCTGTGGTGAGTCCAGGGAAGTTTCCCTCATTTGAATGCAGGTCTGCAACATTGAATTTACCTCACTATTTTCTGTTGGAGTTCGAGAACCAGATGAAAAGAACACATTTGAGCTTTTAAAGGCACCGGTATTTCGGCTGGTAAAGTAAAAACATCTGGTTGTTTTACACTTCAACACAATAACAGCTTGCTCAATAGCAATGCATTCTGGGAGCGTGATAGTCCGTCAACTCAAGATTGCCTATCCTCAAGATCCCCAATAGCAATAAATACCAACAGTCTGTTACTATTCGGAATTTATGTATTTTGGTAAAAGCTGCACATTAATATTTTAGCTTTCTTTCAAAACAGCTTTGAATGGCTCAACATTAGATCAGGGATTAAATGAACTTTATTTTTTTTCCATTTTTGGCAAAGTCTTCCAACAGTGTTGAGAAACTGTTCCCAATCGAGAAAGCATACAAGCTACTTATGAAGCCACAGAGTGAAAGGAATATCTGTTTGCTAAAACAAGTTCATTTCTCCTGTCCCAAGAAAACAGCACAAGCTGGCCTCTGTGCCTGCGACACCCAGCACCAAATATTTCAGCCACCAAGGCCCCTGAAGAGCCACCTCAACAGGAGCAGCGGAATGAGCAGGCCCACCTTCACCTTAAACACAGTTTGCATCCATGCAAGTCAGATCATTACTTACACTATTTACAATGGATGTTTAGCTGACCTTCAAATTAAGGCTACACTGCAGCTGGACAGAAGGCTCTGGTCGTTTGCAGTAAGAATAGTTGCAATGATAGTCACTTTCTGCAGAATGGAGAAATAATTAGCTAAGCTTATTACCGAATTTTTTTCAAAATCAAAATAAGACCACTTAATTATCTTTGTGAAAGGGTGGAAACAAAAACAGACACATGCACGCACGCACGCATGCACGTAGACACACATACACACACATGCGCACACGCGCACACACACACACACACACACACACAATTTGCTAAACATATGAACTGATCCAACAGATCTAGGGAAGTTTGCCTTCCAGCTTGCTTACTGGTATAATACAATGCATAGCAAAAGAGGAATGCCACAAAACACAGCACAATCTCAGAATAACCACACACAGGACAGCAAAGGGATTTGGGTGATGTTCTATTGCGTGGTGCGAGAGAGCACATCTCCTTTCCCAGAAGGCCACAGTACACCACTACTTCTGCATTTGCGATTCACTTGTTAACAAAAACAGTTCAGCTTTAACTACGTTTGAAGACTAATGCATCTGGTTGGAAATCGGCCAAACGACGGATAGCCGGGGGGGGTGGTCACCCTGCACCGGCTTCAAATGTTCACTTAAGGATTCTACAACAGCAAGACTAGCTGATTTGGTGGGAATGGCAGGACTTAATCCAACTCCTGGCTTGACGTTCCTGCACATTCCGAAAGAAACACATTGAGAAAGAAACCTAAGGCACACGCATAACAAGCCGGGAGCCTACTGAGAAACACACGGACCAGAATTTCCGAAAAATAAAAAAGAAAAAGAAAACAGGAATGGTCCATGCATTGATTGTAGCTTTTAGTGCAAAGCTCCCTTTAAAACACCATTGAAATTTTGACTCTGAAAAGCACGTTCCTCAAAGCTTAGTAAGAAAACAAACCTTTCTTGAAGGAGAGAGGAAGTATCGGCGTTGTAGTACGACAAGATGTCTTTGTCACATCTGCTCTATGCTAAAAATACTGTACAAAACGAATTTGCCTAAATTATTGCCTTTTTACCCCTGCGAGACCAGGTCAAAAACAATTGGAAAGACATCTGTCTTTGAAAATTTGGTTTCCATATTTTAATACTTGATTTTGTACACTGTAAGTTGTACATATAGACAGCAAACACTGAGTGACAGACACCTCAAAATGAAAGCAATGTAGATGGAGCATCACACAGATTCCCACCCGCTATGGTATGGAGGGGAAAGAAGGTGTATTTTGGCACTGAACCCATCCCCAGACAAACGTCCATTTTATCTTTCTTTTTCGACACGTATAACAGAGCTTCCAGCTTCCAGCACCACATGCTTGCCTGCTATACAAATCGAATCTAACGCTACACATTATTGGCTGGGAGGAGGCCTGACCCTCAGAGTTTGGCACCTTGATTGAATCTCATGTCTCACTGTTTGTTTGACTGGGTTATTCGAAGCCATGAATACTCGTGAAAAAGGGATGATTTTGTAATTGCAGAATATATCCATTGCTTGCAGAAACAAACCAATGACACAGCCCACAAAAGAGAAGGGTTAATAACATTTATAAGTGCTGAGACTGATTCTTCAAATCAGAGTATGAAAGTAAAATAGAAAGTGTAGGCAACACTGATTCACTATGAACAAGAAGCAAAGAAGGGTGACCAGGATCAATCAGATGGTACTTCAAAAACTTCCTTAGTTCAACAAGCCTGATAAAATAGCTGTGGGTCACACCCATCTTTGCTTTTCGGTAAAAAAAAAAACATTAACTAAAAAATACCTTTCAGTTCCTATGGTAAAACTTTGACTATTTCCTATAAATCTGCTAAGCGAGAAATACTCTGAAATGTTACACACAAAAAATGTGTATTTGAAATACGTATGTGTTCTTATTTACTGCCAGACCTTTGGTGCACAGCTAGAGAGATAGCGTCCAAAGGTCTCGTTTCCAAAATATTGCCATCTGCCCATGCTCTGAGCATTCCTGAACGGGGGGGATTGGTGGGTGCTGGGTGGGGGGGGGGAATCTGTAATAGTAAAATAATGCACTGTACAGTGCTTTTAAAAGACTGGATTCAAGGCAAAGTAACCAGCATTGCACAGTATAAGCAAACCTATTATTATCTACATTTGCTGGTAAAGGTTTGGCAGAGCCATGGTAGCGAGATGCCGTGAACTAATAGGATAGTTTCTGGAGCAGTCTGCACGGCGGGCTTGCACAGTAGCATCTTTGAGAGGCAGGAACAGAGAACTGTAGCCAAGTGCAAGGTACTTCCTGTTATGCTTAATACAAAATGCCAGCTCGACAATCATGACCTCATTCCCCATCCCCCCAGAGGTCTCCAAGAATGCCCTCAACAGTTATAGAAATACAACCAATGGAAAAATACAGCTGAAGGCCAAGATGATGGAAAGGGTCACGGTGCACAGGACGTGTGGGTTAATAATTAGCCTGCAGAAGGCTAGAGCTGCCGGTGTTCCTCTCCATTGCGCCCATGTCCTCCTCCTTTGTGCCCCTGCACCTCCGTGGCCGTTTGGCCTGGACTTCCTCTGACGTCTTCTGCCACCTCCTGCCCCCACGGCTCGGCTGCTGCTGCTGCTGCTGTTGCTGAGGCTGCGATCGGGCCATGTGTACCACCGACTCAATGGTGTCCCTGATGGAGTCATGGTTGGAGAACTCCAAGGGCTCAGGCAGCAGGCTGGTGCGCAGGGTCTTCTTCCCGGGGAGGTCCACACACTTCTCCAGCACGGGCATCTGGTTGGCCGGCTCCGGGTCCAGCAGCAGAGGCTGCTTCCTAGGCCGTCCTCGCCGCTTCTTCACAATGTTGTTGCCAGTCTTGGCCTGTCTCTGGAGCCTTTTTACTTTGAGAATTTTGTTAACGTGGTCCAGGTTCTTTTTGGTGGAGAGGATCTTGGAGAAGGTACACATCTTCCGTACCTCACACTGCATCGTCTCCACTTCTTTCCGCTTTAACCTCCGCTTCAAAGGAGATCCGTGTTCTAAAGAGGGCGAAAGAAAAGAAAGCATTGGTAAGTTGTGTAAAACACCCAACTGCCACTAAACGTTTAAGCTAAAAGAGTGGCAACAAGGGTGAAATTGTTAATATTGGATTTGAGTAGTTTTATTTTTTTAAATAATTTTTAACATAAGGATATGAGACAAAATACATTAGTCATTCTAATATAACTGCTGACATATTTCATATTTGTGAATGCTTAATTGTCAAGATACCCTAACAAATTAATGGAACTGTTGTTTACAGATCCCAGTCTAGCCATTTTTAGCCTTATTATATAAATATTTTTAATGAATCTGAGAAAAGACGTTTTCTTGCACAAATGATTTTTCCATAATGACAGGAAATCCATGGAAGCATCTTCATGAAACCGCAAAATCACAAAATGTGTTCTGGCAGCCGTCCTACATGCATCTGGAGAGCAGGGCCATGGCTGCCCTTCTCATACAGAAAGGGTGCCGGAGCGTCAATGTACTGAATTAAGGGAAAACTCCCAGTCCACTGGCAAAGTGAGCCGCGTCATTCTCAGGGAGGCCTGCAGGCACCAAGCTCTCCTGTATACACAGAGCTCTTGACGTCCCGTCAACAGACGGAAGCTTCCGGAACACCAGAGGTTTACAGATGAGTAGCAGCTCCCTCCTCTCGGGAATCGATCAGCACAAGCAGCCTGAGTTACACACTTTGAGAAAACGGAAAAGTTCCCTCCGAAGAGGAACAAATACGCACTTGTGGGTTTCATACCTGTGCGTAATAACATTTTATTGCTGATGTTTTATTTGCATGGGTTTGATATGTGGATTTTTGCTCTTATACGGCTTACACTTGGCCTGTGACTGACCAGAGACAGCTAACCCCCATAAGATTCATGCTGAGAGCACAGGGTTTCACTGCAACTGTGAAACTGGGAGCTCATGAAGGCACAGTAAGAGCTGGGAATGACATGCAGTACACACTGGAGGCAAGAGCACCGGTCAACCTCTGCTGCCAGCTCTAAGCCGAGAAACCGCCACGGAATGGAGCCACAATGCCTCTATTAAGAATTATTATTAAATTCAGATCACTATTTACCATAAACATAAACTCACATTATATGATTGCTTGGCGGACAACAAATACCAAATAAACCTGCATAACCAGTTTTGAGCTACTACATAAAGTTTTGTTCAAAGCACATCATCATTACAGAATACTGTGGTTTCCATTTTATATTCAAATACCAAAAACATACATCAACATCTCTTACCATTAATAGGCATTAATCTTTCAGGAGAGCGCTTTGGATTTTCGAATGAGACTAAAAATTGCTATTTTGTAATTTTCATTGTGATTCAGACATAACATTAACTTTTTAAACTCTCCAAGAAATATAGCTAAATATAGTTAATGGATACTGGATAATTTTATATAATTTGCTTCATGGTTCATAAGTAGGTGAAGATGGTGTAATCTTAAGTAAAAAGGAACAAAAAATATTTAAGCATAAACATTTACTTTTCTCTCAATCAAAAATATTAGCTTGGATGTGAAGTGTTCAATTATTTAATTTTTTTCCCCTAATTTTGTGTTGCAAGCACGTAGATTGAGAGTAAAAATCTGAAATAATGTTACTGAAAAACATGTCATGATTGACTGTTAAATATTTACTTCTACCAAGACAAACAGCAATTTAAGGAAAAGGTGGACAGACGTGTTTAAAATAAACCCAAGCTAACCAGGGTCTTTTCTATAGACTTTCAGGAAACCAATCAGTGCTCAGCTGTGAAAAGGAGCTTCATGAATAGTGTTTCAGTGTAGGAGCCAAAAGCACGCATGGGGGGGGAAGATGTTCTCAGAAGTTCTCTTTCACTGTTCAGTACATTAACGTCACGCTGCGCACAGATCCATGTAATGCAGCTCAGAAAAAAAAGAACTGGCATAATGTTTCACTTACAGAAAATACACAGGAAATGAGAGATGACCCATAACACTGGAGTCCCAGCAACGTGCTGAAAAGTGCTTTTTCTTGCCCATCAGTTGCCCTTGCAGATTTGGTCAAATTTTGCCATAATTAAAATACAAAATGGAAATTCCCTGTAGGTCACAGCTCATTTTATATTCTATTTTTTTACCATTAATATTTGTAATGGTCTGGATATTCATGGTGTAACATAATTCATGCATTATTACGAACAGATTATTAAATCTTGTGTAAAAAAAAATGGAATTTTAATATTTTTAATAACATCCCTATTGCTGGACAGAGATCACTATGCATCAGTACAGTACCTTTTGGAGATCTGGTTTTAATGTTGCCAGTGGTGATGTAAAAGACTTTATAAGCAAGAAAAACACACACTCATGCACACACAATCCAATGAACACAGAGATTCCAGCTGGTACCAAGCTCAAAAAAGCCAGCCAGTGCTGATGAATGTTTGTACCAAAATACTAGAGAACGCAAAACTCACAATCCCCACCGTTAGATTTGCTAATCCTGCTCGATGCCGGCACAGGAGTGACGACAGCGACACGCTGTCATTTAAACCTCACAAAAAAGCCGGCACCGCTCTCAGGGATCACCATTAGTGATTTACGAAGGGAAGAGGATTCAATCGAGCAAATCTTTAAAAGCATTCCATCTATGACGAGACCATGATACGTTCTCCTGCCCGCATAAACCACTTCCCATAAGCGAAAGCAGAATCGGACTGCCGTAACGTGATATGATGGTCCGTCGATCTCATCGAAAGAACTGATCCATGACATCTCAATGAACTGCAGCTACTTGACTGAGCATGTGCAGGCACTGTCTGGATGCGGCTTCCCTGGGAAAACAGGAATGGAGCAAAGCATAGCTGCCCCCCCCCCCAAAGAAGGCCACCTACAGGGACATTTACAACTGTCAACGACTGTTTCTGCCTCGGGCCCTTTACCCAATACGCCCATTCATTCCAGCCGCATCCCAGCCCTGGCACGCAAATCAAGGTGTGCGTGAGCCAACCAGAAGCCATTGCGGCTGGATCAGGTGTGCCGCAGCCAATAAGAACGCACTCCTACAACTGTGACCTCAATGGAGTCGTCTTTTGGGAATAAAACAAAAGAGCTCATGATCAGCATCTGAAGCCTAATTTCTAATTTAGGAAAGTATGCAAGAAGAAAGAGATGGAAAAAAATGTTAATCAAATAATATACCGGGCCTGTCAGCACACATCCTGCCTCCCCGACCTCCATGAAATCACTGGGAAGCTTATGTAAACCTCTTCGATGCCAACAAATCACTGGAAAGGGACATTAGATTTCAGCAGAGTCCAACATGAGCCGCACATCCCCATCAAATCCCTAACAGACACTTTGATTGGGGACCTCCAATTTATGGACTCTCGAAGGCACTCTACATTTCTGATATGCTAGCACAAACATGGAAACCAGGAGCTCAAGTGGGGAAAGAAAAATCAACTCGTTAAATTCATGCTCTGTACATATTATGGATGGGTAAGGGTTCAGTCAGGCACTGCTACATAGGAAACAATACATCATGCCTCCTACTTAGGGTGTTAAAAAACAACAGGTATAAAGCTAAACCTTGGTTATAAAGAAGCATCCACATAGTGCATCAGGTTTTTGTGACGACTGTGTCAGGCATACGGTTCTCCCGGGATGTTAGCAGGACACCCACTGCAAAAAAGATGGATTTAAGGGACAGTGCTGGGCAGTGTCCCAGTAAGTTAGTCAATTCCTGTTGGAAGCTGGCATGAATGAGTTAGATCAACATGATTCCAAAAAGAGAATTTAAAAAGAGTACAATCAAATGATATTATTTACAAAACATTCAGAGAGTGGACAAAACATTGAAAACACCCCAAGGAAAAGGACTTTCGCTGTAAAGTGACTATATCATAAACCTAGCTACAAAAGTGATGCATATTAGGCCGAACGCAATTTAGCTGTGTGGGCAGCTATAAACGAAAATCAGACTTAGTTTTCAAAGCAACCTGAGGATACTCGCATATCCAAACAGGCCAAACAGTGTGCACCCAAATTTCAGGTGCGTCAGTTACAAAATCTGCAAAAGTATTTGATGTGTTGAGGGTAACTCTCAAAAATCCTGACAAACTGAGAAACTCCATTAGCAAAGGGGAAATTGTAAGCATAAGCTCTCCGATAGGGGACACTGGGCACAAAACAGGATTCTGGTTAAACACCACAGAAATACAGCCTCAAAAATTACTACAGAGCCTCAGCAACTCTGGAATCCAGTCACAATAAAATCTGCACATGAATTTCATAAGGCTGAAGAGTAGAACTTCCCTGGCTGGTGCACAAAGACACATAATCTGGTGTAAAGTGCACAAAACCTAGACATATGAGTAATGGAAAAACTACAGTTGGATGGGTTTATCCTTGGAAAAAGCAAAAGGATGCCTTTGGTCTACAGTGACTGTTGGTATGAGCATGTCACAGGACTTATTAGGCTCAATGATTCCTGTATGTGATTGCATAGAATATCAGCCTTAGAATATGAGGCTGTTTTACAGCAGCAGATCCACCCAATGGTGCAAATACAGATCCATTGAGAATGGTGTCATGATGTCAATTGCCTTTCATAGCCTCCCATCAGATCAAAAATCACAATCTTTATGGAAAGTTCAGGATCGCAGAGTATAGCATAGATTTTCATTTCTTTTTGCTTGAATATTGGTCTGATTTTCCACTACACATAGTTCAGGACCATTATGTCAGCATTCTAAGAAGAAATTAAACTATTCTGAAGGCAAAGGGTGGCCTTAATTAGACCATTGATATTAATATACTTTTAGGCCATTCCATTGTTTAATCCACCACCAGTAAACACAAAACAACGACTGATAACAATTATACCTGACATTTGTGGGTGAATGGCTAAGAATCAGTAATGAGTTTACAAAAGTTCTTACAGAAATTACAAAACAATATGTGCGATGTTCATTATCAGAAAATTACAGAGGAGTGCTAACAAACTGCTTT